GCCCCTCTTGCCCCTCACTCCCCAACTGCAGCACCCTGGACCTGCCGGTGCCCCTCACTCCCCACCCACAGCCTCCCCACCCCTTCCAGTGCCCTTTGCTCTCAGCCCCCTGTCCCTGCCTGTGACTCTCACTTCCCACCCCTGCCAATGATGGCCCTCAGTCCCCAACCACAGCTCCCCCCTGGCTCTGCTGGTGCCCTTCTTTCCCTAACAACCCCCACCCCCAGTCCTGTTGGAGGGGGCCCTCAGCTGCCAGGGCTATGGGATCAGGGACCCAAGTCCGCAGCCCCCTGCTTACAGCAGTACTCGAGCCTGGATGCCACATATGGGAGACAGAGGCTGCTGTGGCGTTTGAGCAGATGCAGGCTGCCTGCTGCAGGCTTGGTCTCGCCACCCTGCTGCCCTCCCCACAAGACCTCTGCAGCCCAGCAACTGAGACCTGGCGTGGCAAGGCACAGCAAGGCCAAGTAGGGAAATTGATTGCTATTGCCATGAGTCCTGCGCCGCCATGGCAAGGCACCCCCTGCCTGTCTAGCAGCAGTGACAGACATAACTCCATGCTGCCAGCCCTGCTTCTGCCAGTGGGCAGGGAGTTCCTCACCATGGTGGCATGGGGCTCATGGTGGAAGCACTGAGCTTCCCTACCCCACCCCACTCTGCCCTCCATGCTAGGTCTTGCCTACTGGGCCATGGAGTCTCTGCACACAGGCTTGCACCAAAATACTGGAGGTGTGATAATAGTCCAGTTTGTTACTTTAGTTATTTTGATCCTGGCTTCCTTTTAGAGAAGCCGTTAATTCTTTTACTACGTTGGGTGACCCAGAAGTTGCTGGGATCACAAATGAGCCCAGTTCCTTTGTATTATCTTGCTGCTAGATCCAGTTTTGTGAAAAAATGTAGAACTGCAGTTTAGAGGATTTTGTGCTTTAGTATCACTTAAGGAATAGGAATTTAAAAAAAAATCCTTGTTTATAGCAATCCTTGTCTACAGACTAGAGTAGACATGCATGGTTTTGTATCACCAGTAGATGTGGTGATTGTAGACCAGCGGATGTTGGGTTAATCAAAATATTTAAAAACAAGTAGAACTTGCATAAGATTTAAAGACTCCTGCTTTTGTTAGTCATTCAGAAAACAGCTGTTTCCCTTTTCTGTCCCAGCCAGTAATAGAGTCTGTTGAGGTGTGAGCTTCCTACAGGATTATTCTTTAGTATGTTTAAGGTACTTCATTCTTAAACCTTTTAAAATGGATGTCTTCTGCCAACTTTTAGACAGTTTTAGTAAATATACATGTATTTTTGTCCTTGTAAAGGTCTATTCAGCTACAGCTGAACATTGGAGTTGAACAGATCCGAGTAGTGCACAGAGATGGAAGAGTTATCACATTATCCCACCAAGAACAAGAGCTGCAGGATTTCCTTCTGTCTCAGGTAAACTTAAAGACTAGAAAAAGAATAACATGGAACTCGTATAGATCTGTATAAGCAACATAACTGTATGCATATTGCCATATGTCTCTGGGACAAATTGTA